TCAGTGTAAATGTAGTGAGAATAATAAAATCAGAAAAACCTACTGATAACGATGTCACGTTATTAAAATCTGATTCTCACTTTGAGGTTAACAATGTAAACGATGAAAAAGATCAACAAATTTCAACTAGCTCTGTTAGCGAAACTGCTTCACGTCAAGAAAATGAAGAAGATGAATCCTTTTTAGAAATGCACTTGAAATCAAAATCTGGATATCCTGCGAAAAATGCACGTATAAGTTATAAAGAAGTTTCTTCTTATACACCAATACAAACTGTTGTTGAACGCGCCAAAAAAGTTGTCAATAGAAAAGATTTAGTTGTTGTAGGGCGTCATTCACATGTGAATGAACCTCATCACCATTATGAATTTGGAGAATTAATTAAAAATTTAGGCAATTATGGTAATGATACACATAAATCTCTAGGCTATGTTTCTGAAGCATTTTTAGTTGGGGGTGTTATGGCAAGTCTTTTGGTTTTACAAGCAAAGCAAGTTAAAGATGAAAAAAAAACGAGTTGATAACGAGCTGATTAAATAATATATATATGTATTAGTCGTTCAGAGCTTGGATTCTGACATTCTAAAACATAATTAATCTCTGACTAATTGTTAAGCACTTCCAAATTTCCACACTTTATTTAATATTTTGAAGTTTTTTAAGGATTTTATTTGATTCTATTATATTTAAATATTTTATTCGTATTTTATTTTGTTATTTTAAATTTTTATTTATGTTGTTCGATTATTAAGGGTGTAGGCAAATTTTATTTTCAATTTTCAGTTATAATCTGTTTTCTATTCTTTAAATACTGTAGGTTGGGTTTTTAGCATAACGACGCTTCTATATTTTGGAATTAATTGATTTCTTCTCAACCAACAACATAAGCGACTATGACACGAAACATGTCTTTTAATCGAATTATGGCCAAAATAATCGAGTCGAAAAACGAGGAAAATGAGGATGGCAGTTTAACATGATGTGCCAAGTTCATTAATAAAGATTTTATTCAATCAACTATTACTTCTATCATGAACGATGGATGGATTTGACTACTAACATCGTGAACTATAGATGGATTTGACTATTAATACCGTGAACGATAGATGGATTTGACTAATAACTTCGTGAACGATAGATGGATTAAATCGTGAATACTAATACTAACATAATATTAAAACACCTAAATACAGGATAAATTACAATTGACTCATTACTAACTTTAATATTAAAATTTGATATATGTAAATACAGGTTATAAAAATCACAAGCTTGATCATTGTGTTCTCTAACTTATAGTTACTGAATCATTGATTAAATGAATCGCATATAACGTGAACACGAGATACTAAGAACATTGAATCAATTACGAAACAGGGAAATCCGTAGTATTAATACATTTCATTTTGTTTAGTAAAGATCAAATAATCTCTAATTAACAAATTTAAGAGCAAGGATTCTTTCTGCATACATTTGTACAGGTCTATACGATGAAAATTATATAAATATTGGAAACGATCTATCATCATGTAACAATAATTCGAAAATGATTAATTTGATCACTGTGATTAAAGGCTTAAATTAATGCTAAATGCCTGTAGAATTAATCTAATCCATCAAAAATGCAAATAGGCTGGATGGTTTATGAATAATTTTATTATTATTCATAAGCTACTCGGTCAACGTGTATGTTTTAGGGTTTGTTAAATTCTCTTGGCTCGTAGCAAGATATAAGTAGTTTATAATGATATGATTAAGTACCCTACTTGGCTAGGATAATGTCATATAGCATATGCTCCAGCTGCAACTTTGGGTCACGAAGATTGAATGCTATTGCTGTATATACAAGGAAAACTGAAACCTATTATGCTGAAGCATTATTTTGTTCCTTTTACCTGATGGTCAATGTTAACTCGCTGAAAAATATTTGGATGACTAATTTGGTTTATCTCTCCAAAGAAAGTTCTTCGTTCTTTTCTAACAATTAGGCAGAAACTCAAATTTCAATAATAGTGGGGATTAATGAGAACAAAAATAATCTTCGTTCCTTTTCTAACAATTAGGCAGAAACTCAAATTTCAATAGTAGTTGGGGATTAAAGCTAACTAAAAATAATAATACTATGCTACCTTATTATGTCGTGTTTTATACTCTTCGATTCAAAACTTACTACATATATTTTATATCGTATTATATTAGTCACCATTATAGCAGAAACAGTGGATTTTGCACAGAATTTTTTTACAATACTTTTTTGAAAAGCTCATGCACCTTTTCTATAACATATTTCTTGAATCCCTATGAATTCCAGAATTTTGTAAATCGGCAATTTGATTGGTCGATCAATCATAGATTGGTCCAAACAATGAGCAAATCACATCCATATTCGAATGGTCTCTACTGTAGTCACCACTTTTATGAAATTCTTATCATGTCATCTACAATATCGATACACCAAGAGCTAAGCAATTTGTAAACACGATAATTAACATAAAATTAAAAGATTCTTTATCATGAGTATCTTCCATAGGATGAACAATAAACCTTTTTCACAAGTATTCTTTCAAAAATATTGGTGCGATATGCAACTTTTCCAAATATTTTGAAAACCTTTCCATATCACCTTCACATGTAATATAAGAGGTTAGAAAATATTGGAAGATATCCAGAAAGGTTTGCATATCACACCAAGGATTTTTGAAAGAATACTTGTTGAAAAGGTTTATTGTTCTACCTGTGTTCAAATAATACGGAATTCTTGATTTTTATATATTTCACTCAATAGGGCAGAGCAATGATTTACATCTTTTATGATCCTACTTATATCACATGAAATAAATATTCGAAACTTGAATATGCCATATTACATTTAAAATAGGAAAAGTCTATATATCTTTAAGAGTATTATTGCTTATTTTCAACCGTAACGCAGTGATAACAAAAAAAACTTAGTGATCTAATGATATTTTCTGTAAAATATACTTTTTTACAAGAATTTTTTGACATAATATCATGAACAAAATTCCGAATATTACCAACACGTTGTCTATTTAATGGATTAGCATCCTAACATTTTTGAACTAAATATCTTCGGATGAAGACCATTAAGAATATCAAGAAAATGACTTCGATCAGTTATTATTTCACAATAATTATTCCATAGCCGTAAATTTCTGACGCTTCTGTATATTTTTCACCTTTGAGCAATATATGGAATCACACCGTAAATTTTTTTTGTATCCGGTATCGAATTGTCTGGTTTACTTATCCCAAAATCTTTTATATCTTTCTTATAATCACTTACATAATCAACAAGTATATTACCACTATGAAGATCTCGATGAATGATTTGTTTGCAATGATTCTCATGAATATTTGTATCAACGTACCTAGTTTTTATTCCCAAATAATGTAATACAAGTCACCTAGTCCATTACGATTAATCTTTTGTTTCCGGATGCTGTGTGATCCATGCTGAGCATAACCTAAAAAAATTTAACTAAAATAACTGAAGTAACAAATAAAATTTAATAAGTTATATGAAAATAACTATCAAAAACTTCATTTAAAAAATCATGCTTAAGTTTTAAAATTGTTAAGACTTTGAAGAACAACTGTTCAAATTTTTCAAATCTTTTATTTAAAGTGTTCCAATGAGATTTTATGTCATGAAAACATGTTGCCTTATATATTTTACTAAATCCGTCTTCATCAAGATAAGCAATATTACTGAATCATTAATACGGAATAAATTCTATAAAAATGGTTTGTACAATTTTGTTGATTTATTTTATTAAGCTAATATCTATAACTTCATTTCTACTTAATCAAGATTATCAAAGCTGTTAATTGGAGTATCATACTTTGGAGCACGCCGGTTTAGACCTAAACTAGGCTGGAGTGATTTATAAAATATATTAAATAGAATATTTCACGCTAGTTTTCTAAGTTAGAGACGAAACTGGATCATCATATTAGAACTTAGTATTCTAAACTGGTTTGGGTTGAAACTAATTTAAAATCGACCAAACCCATTAATAATCCTAATGATATCTGCTACTGTAGGCCATTGTATGCAGTATCTCGGCTAACTTCATGTTTAAAATTAAATAATACCGGTACTATTCACAAACTCGGAACTACTTTATGTGGTAAGATATTATTTTTTGGAGTTATCGTAGGAATTTGTCAACAATATATATGCTTATAAGGAAAAATCAGTTATTATAACTTAGGTCACGCCAAGTTGATTTTCTGTTTAACATAACATGAGATGACTTGTAAGAGGAGTGTCGGGAATTAAGAAAAAACATACAATAATATTAGAGCGCAATCTTATTAGTTAATTTGATCTGTATTGACCTATATAGATTTTGAAAAATAGAGGATTTATTTAATAATTTTGAAAAATTGAGGGGGTGGGGGTTATGTTAAAAGAAAATTAAATTGGTCTGGACTTATTAATTACAGAATTAGAACCTTGAATATAACCTATTGGTATCTCCATTTTTGATTTTAATGCTACTTCATTGCGCAGCTACCTTATTGTTATTTGTATTCCTTTTTGTGCAGTTTACAAAACATGACATGTGCATAAAATGCATAACCAAGCCTGGTCACAAATATGTTGCACTTCGTGCAAAGCTCTATAAAACATTATTTTTGAAACAAAAAAGGCAAAACTATATTTTTGATATTTGTGGTTTGTACTTTATTTCAATAATTGTAGTTCACATGCACTGTAATTGTGCTAAAATTAATTCGATGTTTCTTAGCATTTGTGAGATCAGGAGTATCTATATTCAATGCCTCAAAAACTGCAAAGTAAGGAGAAGCAATAGCGTATCTAGAATTGCCTGTTAACCATGCTGCATGGAGAATACCAAGGGCTTTTCCTTCTCGATCTACCACACTTGCACCAGAATCTTAAAGTTCAAAATCTCCAGGTCTGAATAAAAATGCTAATTGTCAATCAAACCACACAGTAGGATAGCATTGCTGTCATTTCCCCTTGATTTCCTGAAACAATGATGCCTTCATGTATCTAATGAAGCTTTTTTTGTCTGTGATATTACTATGTGATGTGCTTTTTTGCAAATTTGATGCTTTCATTTGATATGCCAATGAAAATAGCATTAATAATGGGAACCAATTTCCCATGAGTGAAACTTGTAGTTCTTCCTACTTTAAAAACATCTAATTTACAAAGTCATTAAGCATTTCATATGTATAAAAGCTATTTAGACAAGTATTTTCAGAAAGATTTGCTTTTTTGAAGTACTCTGGGAAAGCGAAAATTTATTTGGATATAACGTATAATTATCATTCGCAAAATACAAAATGCAGCATCAACACCAAAGTCCTTTTCATAAATTTCAGAAGTGAAGTTTTCACACATGTTGTTCTTATAATAAGCTAGGCTGAATTTAGTTTGTTCTTGTTAACTTGAGTATAAATTTTTTTAGAAAATGTTTATATGCTTCATTTTCAGTTGATAACTCAACAAATGACTGTTTCAAAT